TCTTGTTTCGGCTGTTCTACTTCTCCCGCCATATTCACCGGACATTGCAGTAACCGAATATTAAGTTTTTTCGATTGATGCAAAAAAGGTGTTTTGTGGAAAACATATCTAATGTAAATCAGGTTCAAGAGTTCGGTGAAGACTTTCTCCAATCAGAAGTTGCAGGACTTTACTCAAACTGTATCCGGACGCTGCCTGATAATTTTTGACAACAGACTACAAATTATAGTGAATATCTTATTCTACATTACTTTTGAAGAATAAAGTTTATAAAAAAAAATATAAATTATTCTTGACTTAAACTAATTGTTTCATGTTGGTGGTGTTTCTGGGCCACCAATCAACTGCAAATCGAGAAAATGCGTTAAGATATTCGCTCGAATCAATCAAATTTTTCTCATTGTAGAATCAGTCCAGGTATCTGCCAGAAAATTCTAGTCCAGCAATTCCTTGATAACACAATATATATTATTTATGTGTATATATACAGCTTCTACGTTTATTAAGCTACAACTTTAGTGAGATAAGAATCTCTGATAATACTAACCAAAAGAACGCATTGTTAGAATGCCTTATAAATTGTATACGTAAAATACAACGAATAATCTGCAATATTATTGCATCTGACCTGGCATCTCGATGTCAGTTACTTTCCTATCGCTGGCAAGATCTCGTCAGTTTATAATTAAAATGGCGAGATGTAACTGTAAGTTCTATGATAACAGATTTATTATTATTATTTTTATCGCAATCCACACTTGTGGTTACTTTTTCTTTCCAATGAACATTGATGTTGAAGAATTTAAATGCAATCTTCTCTATTCATAATTCCTGCTCTTTTATTGTTCGCTCTCCTTAATAGTGTTTTCCCATATTCTCTCACATTCTATAACCCTTTACGTTTTACTGGCTTTATTGCCTTACTTGGGGTGAAATGATTAAAAAAATTGTTTCTCAGCAAACTCTTTAGTTCATAAAACTGCCTTAAATGTAACATCCTTGAACGGAATTTAAGTACCAATATCCTTTAACAGTTTTTTGTTTCTCTTAAATCTCCCGGCCTTGTATCCAGTTTTTCTCCGAAATTCATCTCTGTAATTCGCCATTCTCTAAACACATCTTTCTCAGATTTTTTTCTCTTTCCTTAATCTTTCGATTTTGCAGGAGTTTTTTTTTTCTTTTCATTAGTCACTTCCTGTTGTCTTTTCCTGTTCTTTTGATTGACTGTTACTTGTTCTTCCTTCTTTCCAGCGAGTTCTTTATTCTTTACCGAAATTTTCGCCACTCCGTCTTTGGATATTTTTTCTTTCCTCCTTCAAACTTAATTCATGCATTATTTCTTTATTTCATTTTGTTTTTCTTTTCCGTTCTATTTTTCCGAATGAATTTGCGCCATTTTCCTTTTTATTTTGTTTCTCTCCGTGCCGCCATCATTTTTTAATACTATTCAATCCTATCTTTTTTCGTTTCCTTTTCAGGTTTTGGTTTTGACTTTATATTTTTATAGCATTTATTTTCATTGAATCTTATATTTCCCTTTTATAACCTTTCACTGCACCTTTAAAATGACTTCCTCTTTTTTCATTCATGGTTGTTCATTCTTTACTCTTAATCTTCTTTGTAGATAAGTATGTATTTTGTAAGTAACTAATATTTATTATCTCAATTTAGTTCTTTTCAGTTACATTTTCCCTTCTTCCTCATTTTTCTTACTTTGTTTTTTCAGTATATTTATTATTTCATATTTTCCTGTTTTACTCTATTTCTTCTGTTGTTCAATGAGTATTTGTTTATTTTTAATTCACATTCTTTTATCATAGCCTTCACTTCACGCTTCTTTTTTCTGTCTCTTTCTTTCTTTCTTTCTTTCTTTCTTTCTTTCTTTTCCAAAGATATTCTTTGCTATTCCTCTTTTTCCTACCTCCCCGAATATGTTCTTTGATTTTTTTTGTTTCGTTCTTTGTTTCTGGGATTGTTTTTTTTTTTCTTTCTTTTCTTTCTTTCTTTCTTTCTTTCTTTCTTTCTTTCTTTCTTCATAAACGTCCTTATTCTCTACTGAATATAGACTTTGCTACGATTTTCATCTTACTTTTTTTCTGCTTTTCACTTAAATTTTCACTTTCTTTATTCTTTGCTTAGATTTCTTCTATTACACTACATACCTAAAACAAAACTTACTTTCTTCTTTCTTTCTTTCTTTCTTTCTTTCTTTCTTTCTCCAAATATATTTTTTCTATTCTTCTTTACTTATCTCCTAAAACGGGTTTTTCCTTCATTCATTCTTTTCTTTCTCCTTCATTTAATTTTTTTTTCCTTTTTTCTTAAAAATATTCTTGGCTGTTCTTTTCCGTGTTTCAGTTAAGTTATTAAATTATTTGCGCTTATTTTTTTCCATTTTCCTTATCCCTAATCTTGTTCATTTTTTATTTCATATAATTTACTTCCCTGTGTTTCTTTCTTTTTTTCTTTCTTTCTTTCTTTCTTTCTTCAAAATTTATTTCTCTCCTTTTATCCTTCCTAACACATCGTAACTCCAGTATAGCCAGTATAATTTCTTTTTCATATTACCTTCTTTTCCTTTTAATTCATTCGCGTTTCATTTTGCGTTCATTAAATTCATATCGCCGCTTTCCGATTCCCCAAATGTCCTTCGCAGCCAGAGAAGATGAGAAAAAAAAACCCAAAAAAGAAACAAAACAAAAAAGAAACAAAACAAACTACAACAACAGCACAAGACCGCAACAACAACAACAAAGACAAGAGCAAGCATAAATGCATCAATGAGAGCAGCAACGACAACCACCGCTATCACCACCACCATCTCCATCACCACCGCCATCACAACAACAACAACAACAATATATTTTTATGTGCTTTCCATATTCCTTTTGACCTCTTTGTTAGACGCACAATTAGTGGCCATTCACGAATAATGGCGGGGGATAAAAAATCCTCGTTCGTATCCAAATCAATAATACCGAATTATATTTTTCATATTTTAGAGTGGTCCACATCCGATAATGTTGATTACGATTATGATGACGCTGATGGTGGTGGCGATGATTGTGGTAATGGAGGCGAAGTTGCGGATGGTTAAGGAGATGGAGGAGGCGGCGATGCAGACGGAGAAAAATAAAATCGGTGAAAATGATGGATGCTATGATTGTGGTATGTTGTGGGGGAGTAGATGTTAATCCGTGTGGAAATGAGGATAGCTGTGGTTAGATTGCCGTAAATAGTAATAGCAATGGTGGTCGTATGCTTTGAGTAGTCAGTACATAATCCCGTTTGTAATGTGGATGGTGGTGATTAATTTGTTGTAATTGGTAGCGTCATCAAATGTTGAAAATGATTGGATGCTAATCCTAATCTTAATGGATCCTTCGACAGTTACAGCCGAATATGATGTCAAGTATTTCTGTCAGGTTCATTAGCAAAAATGTTTAGAGAAGCAGTTGTCATTTGGTTTATTAAAATTATGATACATAATATTTCTATTTGTTTTGGCAATCATATATTTCTTTTTGCATCAAACGGTAATATCAGTATTAGCCGTTTCCCTATGAGGAAACATTCGGCAGGCATCGATCGAGCATCCAATAATGGTTTCGGTTGAAATTTATAAAATCCTTCTCTTAAAACATGTTTGTTTAGGAAAACATATTTCTCAAGTCCAGTAGCTCATTCCACTATTGATGGGAGTTTCCTTCCTAACCTTTTATTTGAAGTGCTATGGAATGTTAAAATCTTGATTGTTATTATTTTATCTTTGTGTTACATGTGCTATTCATTTTAGTTATTGCAGCTTTTGGTAATCCACAAGGTTTAGTTTTAATTTTTTACTTATATTTACCCAATACAAGGCACAAGATCCACTCAAGTTAGAGGATTATTGTGTGGAGTTATATTAGCGTAGGAACGGCCAAGCGTTAGGAATATAGAGCTGAAGAATACCTTAGAAAGAACAGAAAACACAATCCTAAACGGAAAACAAGGGATACTCCTGTTTATAGGACCAGTGAGGTGTGTGAACCAAGCGATAGGCGTACCTATTTACCCCTATTGAATATGATATAGTTTCTGTTATTTGGTACAATTCTTTGTGTGTGTGTTTGTGTGTGTGTGTGTGTGTGTGTGTGAATCTGTAGTTCTAATCCACAATGTTCAAAGAAATATGACCTTTGCCAAGACCAACATATTTTACTCGCTCAAAACCATTTTCACCATTGAACTTAGGAAGCAGTTGTATACAGCTGAGAATTCAGACATTTGCAGCAAATATATTTTTAGAAAAAAAAATGTAGAGATTCAGCTGTACGTCTTTAATCATTTAAAGAATCGTGAAATCCATCATATAATTTAATAACATATTAAATTAATTATTTAGACGGGTGTTTCACTTTGTTTTGCTTTTTTTGCGGGGGGTTCGGCACTCAGAAGATAATTTTTCTTGGCTTTGCGAATATCATGAAGAAATTGTAATTTCCATGTTTATTTATTTTAATACGAGGAATTTTAATAAATTTCGCTATTTCATAAGTTAAATGAAAAATAATGGCGCAACTCGATGTAAATGTATTGTGTCAATCAACTAAATAGAAAAAAACATTAGTTATTCAGAAAAATACTACGATTAAATTAGAATCAAGTTGCTTCGGTAGAGAAGTTTTTTGATTTGCACAGAGAGGGATCCCAAATATATTTATCATTATTTTATCATTTACAAAGATTTTCCCATTTACTTTTCTAATTCCCAAATTATGATGGAAATATATTTGCCAAATCTCGTTTGTATTTTTAAATTGTATTTTAATTCCAAGCTGACTCCCTTTATTTGATCTGGAGGCATAGACTTTTCTCGTCTCGCTGACCATGTTCATGAATATCTTGTCTATTTCTTATTATGTACTGCTCAGCTATTGCTGGTTCAGTTTCCACTGATTCTAGCTACACGCTGCCCGGCCTAGTCACTGGGCTCATAGGGCATACCGTGCCATCAAGTTGAAACACTGTTTCCCATAAAATCACCGAAGTTAAGTAACGTCGAACCTGGTCAGTACCTATGTGGGTGACTACTTGGGAATACCTAGTGCTCTAAGCTTGGTTGTGCAATTAGTGTGATGGATAATGGCTCGGAATTTTTAATCGCAGAGCCAAGTTCTAATTCCTGTTGGGATTGTTATATCCACTTTCGCGAAGATACACTTGGGAAAGGTAGAATCCACTTCTTCTTCCACCAGCTATGGGTTAATTAGTAAGACATGTTTTGCTAAATCGTTAATATTTCAAAAAAGCTTATTACGATCTAAAAATATTTTCCGCCTTTAAATAACCTGTAAATGGTTGATAAGTCATGCAAAACGAATCAATCAATTATCATAAAGAGAAGTTCCGATCCATACAAATGAATAATCGGGCCTCTCTAATCTGGTATTTAATCAATCGATCATAATGCCACCATGTTTACGAACCAATGGTTAAATCCAATTGGCTATTGTTTCGTGGGACAATTCTTAGTGGACAACTCCGAACAACTCCTCAATGCACAATTGCTAGGGATCCTGATATGATATAACTAACTTTTTAACTATTTAGACAATATATCTGCTGGATAATCCAGTGGACATCTGAGTCTACAAGCGTGAAAAATTGAATGTAGCAATCAAAATCAAAATATTCAGTTAATATACAATAAAACAAAGAGGTATAAAACATGCAACTGTTTTCTCACCAGACATAGGCAAACTTTATAGTGAAGCGATCCTGTCAAAATTAGATTTTCTACCAGGATTTATTGGTGACAGACACAATCTTAACATCCGGAGGATACAATGTCGATAATAAACACAGAAATGAGACGACAGAAACTCCTGTAGAAATTAGTAAATGAAAGCGAGAAAAACAGATTAACCATCAATTTATGAAGACAGAATATATGATTGTCAACTAGAGACAGGACCTAACTATGAATTTGAGATGTCAAGTATGTAAATAAATTTAAATGTCAGCGAAATGTTTTAACAGAGGATAGAAAATATGACACAGAAATAACATAACGTATTGGAATAGCGAAAGATGCCTTTAAAATGTTATTAGAAACGGGAAAATGGAAGACATTTTTTTCTTCTTAGAATCCATCTTGAACATATATAAATCTATGTTTCGTACATGCATTGAATATTTCGGCCATAATTGAACTCGTGCTCAGGCTAGATATCTCGACAAAATCTAACGAAGTGTCTGTTCAATTTTTTTTTGTTTATTTTTATTTATTTGTATGTGTGTGTGTGCGTGTGTGTGTTTTAAGCATTTCGCCCAAAGCCAGGCGGGAGTGCTACTAGCACTCAAGGGGTTACAGATAGTGAGAGCAAGAATAAAGTGGGGTGCTTGAGGAAAGGATATAGAGAAGGACGGAGGTCAGGATAAAGGCAACAGATGTCGATTGACATCTGTCCAGATCTAACATTTCGACATTAGTGACTTTCGCACCGCCTTGATATGTCTTCCCTTTCTCTTTTCCATAAATAGCAGTTGTTCTAATGAGCTCTCCTCTTAATCGACCGGATTAATTTAAGCGCAGTACTGGATTGGCAACTAGGTCTCATCGTTTTACTGTTGAGAAAGTTAGATGTAACCGTAAATTATATTCTAATAGATTTTTTTTCACACACTTCTTCCGATATCATGCATCCCTGCCACTCATTATGTTAAAAAATTTAAATGTAAAATTAATCACAGTCTTTTGTCTTCTTGAATCCTCTTCTTGTATGCTCCTTTTTTTCCTCAATAAAAACTTCTCATTTTCTTCCAGTCCTTGTAATCTCTTGCGTTTTAGTGTTATTATCACCTTGCTTTGGGGGAAATGATTGAAAAACAGGAATCAAAGAAAAGAATACCAAATGGTTATGTAACATCACTCCTCCTATATGAGAGCAAACACTAGAGAATCTCCTCACAGAGGAAAAAGAGACTTGAAGTAATAAAACATTTTTCTACAGAAGCATGCTGATAATGCCATTGGCTGAACATTTGACTAACGATGAAATTTTAAGGAAAATCGAAACAAAAGTATCTATTAGACCAACTTCACATCCAATGTTACAACACCTGGTATTCCCTAGTGGTCACCCATCTAGGTACTGACCGGGCTTGACGTTGCTTAACTTCGGTTATCTGAGTGGTACCAGTGTGTCGGTAAACCCAGCTTAATGGAGATAATGTTTCATTTAAGTCATTGTGAAGGTTTCGGGGGCCCCATTATTATCCTTCCCAAAACTAACTAAACGACTCTACAACAACTGCAACAACAACTACTACTTACTACTACTACTACTACTACTACTACTACTAATAATAATAATAAGAAGAAGAAGAAGAAGAAGAAGAAGAAATACATATGAGTTGAGATTAGTTTTTCTTGGTAGTGTGACTGATATAACAGAGGCATGAATAAAGCAAATTGGAATTAATTGATTAATGGAACTCTTACAGAAAGGAGTCCCCTTTTAAATGGCAAGAATAATCCGGAAAGTGATGAATATTTCAGCCAGAGGAAAGTTGAATAATACAGAAGACAGCTGGTTGTGTCGGGCGCGCTTTCCTTGTATTAATTACAAAGTATTAAGACCTTAAGTTTGAATATACAAATAATAATCATGGCCAATTTAGAAGAAATACACAAGTATTGTGGTAATGGCTGAAACGTGGTGAGCTGAAACATGCAACTGGAAGCTTGATAATTGCAACCCAATACCTAGCATTTGCTACTAATGCCATAAAATGTCACACCCACAAAAAAAATCAGTCAGTTATGTGCCATGCGTGATGCACGCTTAGGCGATCACGAATCTTTCGATACATGACTGACGATACATGACTGCCTAGACCAGTTGACATCCAAGGCTACATAACCCGGTCTGTCCTTCTATTTACCCATAGCTGGGAGGAGGATTCTTACCTTTCCCAAGGGTATTAGCATGTAAGTGAATGCAGTGGGTTTGACTGGAATTCAAAGCGGAGTAATGGGTAGCGGCTCGGATTGAGGAATCGGAGAGCCGAGTTCGAATTCTAGCCGAATCCTTTACATTCACTTATGTTAAGTCATTTTTTATGTTTTTACATTCTTTTTATAGATACAAATATTTAAGTAATCAATATAAATGTCATTAAAACTTTCTGATTTGTTTGATCAGCTATATTTTTTATTTATGTAAAATATGTGTGTTTTTGTTTGTCTTATTTTTATTTCTTTTTTTACACAAATGTGCCTTTAACCTATTTGGCGTTCGGTTAGCAAGGTCGAATTTACTGTATTTAAACTTTTCTTTTGTGTTTATAATAAACAGTATTAAACAACATTTACCGGCCTGAATGTTTCTAGAAATTTTCATAGAAAATATTCGTCCTCCGACAGGATTCGAACCTGTATCCTATACGGTCCCGTCATTTAGCTTGGTATGCCTTTAACCTATTTGGCGTTCGGTTAGCAAGGTCGAATTTACTGTATTTAAACTTCAATCATCCATGAATCTCTCACGTACATTCATATCTGCTCATGGCGTATCAAATGTAAACAAATGACGTCACACATTATGAAATGTCCAAAGTCTGACAATTATTTTAAGACATATTTATGTTTATACATTCCTTTTATAGATACAAATATTTAAGTAAATGCTCTGTTTATAATTCACTTATGTACTAATACCCTTCGGAAAGTTATGAATCTTCTTCTTCTCCCACCTCTAGGTAAATAGCTGGACAGAATGTGTTCTCTAGCTTTGGATGGTAACTGTTCTACCGGAGAAATATATGGCAACCAACGGCAGGAAAAAACCTGCCTCGTCAGTCGTATATCGAAAGCTACATGATTACCTAAACATGTATCACGCATGGCACATAACTAACTGACAAAACATCAATCACGTCAAAATATAGACTTAGAATATTACTTACGTCATCAATGGCTGAAATATGTTGAAAAGAATATCAGAGCTGGTTTTAAAATATTCTTTCATGTGCATTGGTTATTTTGTCGAAAGTATGAATATCAAATTGCAGAAAATTGATACAAACCTTACAGGACAAGTGAAGTAGTTGGAAAAACCACACTATTCTTGAATTATGATTTTGTGACAGAGTGATACACCATCGCCGTCCGGATATAATTGTGCTAGTTAAAGGCACCAAGAACTGCCATATTATTGATGTTGTCATACCAAAGGATACAAATATAGCAAACAGGGTGATTGTAAAAAATTACAATCTACTCGGGAATTTCAAAGTGATTCCAATGGTTACTGAGGCATTAATATCAATGTCATTAAAACTTTCTGATTTGTTTGATCAGCTATATTTTTTATTTATGTAAAATATGTGTGTTTTTGTTTGTCTTATTTTTATTTTTTTTTTTACACAAATGTGCATTGAAAAATGTCATGATGCCATTTCTTCCTTTGGTCTCTGCTTGTGACACGGATAGAAATGAATATGCAACAAGAATAAAAGGAAATATTACAATTCTATGGGACTACACAATACACACTGACAGAACAACCAAAGCCAACCGTCCAGATATTGTTATTAAAGACCACAAACAAAAACGGTGCCTCCTTATTGATATGGCAGTCCCTGCTGACTGTAATGTATCTTTGAAGATATTCAAAAAGTTGTCAAAATACAAAGACCTTGAAATAGAAATCTCGAAAATGTGGCACATGGGAACATCAACAATCCCTGTTGTAGTTGGAGCCCTCGGACTGGTTGGAAAAGATTGCAGTAGACTAATTGAAGGGATTCCTGGAAGTCCATGCCTCAAGGAGATACAAAAATTGTTCTGACAAGTACAGCCCACACTTTACGAAGGGCTTTATCTATGAATTTTTTTTTTTTTTTGTCAGTGGAAAGTGTCATGATGCCATTTCTAACCTTAGGTCCCTGGGCGGGACACGGAAAGAAATGTGCAAACGCCAGAAATCAAAGAAAATAAAAATAATAATAATAATAATAATAACAATAATAATGGTGTCGATTATGATAATAATAATAATCATCGTCATAATAAGGAATAAGGTTTATCGAAAAGAGGCTTTTATTTTACAGAGATAAAGAAAATGAACCGAACAAAATAAATAACACATTGAGGAGGAAAGAAAAAACGCTAAAATAAAGAAGAAGAAGAAGAAAAGAAGAACAAATACAAGAACAAGAACAAGAAGGTGAAATAAAAATGTCAAAAATAGGAGAAAAAAGATAAAAAGAAGAATGGGAAAGAAAATGTAAAATATAGAAGAAGAAGAAGAAGAAGAAGAAGAAGAAGAAGAAGAAGAAGAAGAAATGTGATTACCAAAGAGGATGTTTATTCAAAGGTAGTATAAGACAATAAAAATAACACATTCATTCTGCTTTGAAATATGACAACTCTTGAACATGTAATAAAATAAATTAATTGCATCAATACAGCGGCAATTCCCCAAAGCCTATTCAACACCAAAGAATAAACGATTCAGGATTATGCATGGTAAGACTTAAAGCCAATTACAAAGAAAATAGGGTATAATAATAATCATAACAACAACAACAGCAATAATAATAATAATAATAATAATAATAATAATAATAATACTCTGAAACATTTCTTATTAAAGTGAACGAAGCAAGGAACAAACAGAGGAAGATGCCACCGATGTTATTGTAAATGATGAAAATTGTCTTATAATTTGTCAATTGTCTGCATTACAATTCCCAAGCTTCTCTTATAAAATATCTTTGCCTTGAAAGTAACCTTGAACTTAACTACTTGCAAAATGCAAATTATTAAATAGATCGACGAATCATAGATCTTGTAACTACATATATAATATATATATATAAACATCAGCAGATTAACAACATCAAAATAATAATAAAATAATAATAATAATAATAATAATGTTTGCCTATAATAATTGGAGCCTTCTGTATGATTAAGGAGATACAAGGATACACATTGAAATAACCTTAGTAGTAGTTACATTGAACTGTGTAAATCTGATATAAAGATGATGTCAAGATGGTATTATCAATGTTAATAGGATGAAAACATTATACATGCTAAGTATCGTTTAACATCAGACTTTTCACAAACAGTATGCATATATTTACTTCTTTTCCTGAGTCTTTTATTTACTATAATATTAAAAGATTTAAATATGGCTGATTCTAAACTCCAGCTGGGTAATACATTGCACCTTCTTCGGCTTACGTTCTCCACTGACCTAGCACAGATTGACAACTTGGAATCAATTTCTAGATCTATTGCTAGAAAAGTTGGTTTACGCCAGACATTTTTATCGCCCAAATCCATCTAACAATGTTAGAAATCAATCACTCGTCCGTGCTTTGAATATTGTTGCCACATCTGGTTTGGTCGTCCAACTATATATTTCGAGATTCTTGACAAAAGACGGATCCTGAATGTAATGGATTCTGAGATGACATCTTCACTTCAGTTACTTTCTCGCTGATGTGACGTAGCTTCCCTCTGTTTTTTTTTTCTATAAATATTTTCATCGCAATCTTTGTGATAAGCTTTCCTCCTTGGTCTCTTGACCGCATGAATTCAAGAGTATTAATACATTGCCAGTTAGATCTCCATGCTGTACTGTTGCACAAACTACTTGTATCAGTCTGTTATATTTTAATAGTTTCTGTAATCGCCATTCTCGTCTGTGGAATTCACTTCCGATTTCCAGCTTCTATGCCACATCCAATATTCAAAAATTTAAATGCAACATCGAATGCCTTCTTCTGTCTTTAAAAAACATCATTGCACACCAAACAACAAAATAAAACCACTAAGACGCAAGGGGTTACAGATTTTGAAAGAATATAAGAAAAATATTGTTAAGGAGCGAAAATAATAGAATAAGAGAATTTATGAAGACAGAAGATGACAATTGATATTACATTTAAATTTTTGAAGATCAACATTGACTCAAAAGGAAGAAGCCGGAAAGAGTTCCACAAACCAATAAAAGAATGTATTTCTGAAAATCAAAGTTGACAGAACGCAAGAAGCCGGAACAGATTTCCAGAGGCGAGATGTGTTATAGAAGAAACTGTTAGCATAAAACTTTGGGTTACATCTAGCCATTTCAACTGCAAAAAGAGATTAAACCTTATTGCCACATTAGTACTGCGCTTAAATTCATAAAGTCTAGGTACCATAGAGGAGACAGTTCATCAGAACAATTACCATGAAAGTATTTATGGAAAAGGGAAACTACATGACGTCGACTGGAAAGTGAATAAAGTAGAGACAGCAGTTCAGGAGTAATAAATTTGTAGATACTTCTTTGGATTTTTTTCCAATGATCTCTAAATATATAGCCGGACCACCAGATCATATGTGGCAGCGATAATCTGACAGGCTTGTAAATATGTAAGATAGATTCTGTCAAGAAAAAATATCTAACACGATACAGTGAACCAATCTTACTAACAGCAGACCTAAAAATTGATTCGATATAATATTTCCACTTTATATCATCTTATCTGAAAAAGAAGAAATGAATCACTTTCCTTGAAATTTACATCAACCATACTGACGGATTATAGAAAGGGTTCTCGAATATATTTCGAAAATATATTACTTATATGGGGGAACATATACAGCGTCCTGTAAAATGATTTTTTCCTTCTGATTCTTTCAGAGAAATGTCAGCGTTATCATTACCGTTTATATTAGAAAATTTCATTTACTTACACACATTCTATAGTTTCATCCTGCCCATTCGGATGTAATAGATACCATTCATTTCTCTTTTTCTAACCAATTAGCTACCGAAACAACATTGTCATTATTTTCACAAATAAATCATTAGATAGAGATTTTTTTAGATAATTATACACACTTTTTCCTTGAAGGGATTATTTTCCATCTACTTTTTCGATTCCATAATTCATTTATTTTATTTTTTCATTATTATTAAGCATCCCGTCCCTGATCCCGTTTTCTAATTCATATCTCGTCAAATCTCGTTATAACTCTGCCCTAAAACTTCGGCTGCCATCTTGAAGATACAAGTTCTAATTAGCGTTGCTACATTCGCCGACAGGTAGACAGAAAATAGTACAACAAAAATCCTGCTGTGTAGGAAGAAGCAAATAAAATAGCTGGTGAATATAATGATGAAATATTTTAAGGAAAGCAGAAATCACATGAGAGATAGATATAACATTAAATGAAAATAAATAAACTAAAAAAATACGTTATTTCTCTTAATGGGCATTTAAAAAATAAGCCAAAAATATTTAAAATTTTTTGACGAATTAACAAATTTTAATAATAAAAAAGCAGACTGAAATAATAAAAATGGTAAAAAAAAGAAGTTTAATGTTAAAAAAAGAATGAAAATAATATATAATGTAGAAAATGGGTAGGGGGTATCAACTCGGACGGAGGTGTGTAGAGCGTTTATAAAAGGTAAGTAGCAAAAGCTGAAAGAATACGTTGATGGAGGATAAAATACGTCTAAAGAAAAAAAAAACGGACAAAAGGAGGAATGTTATATTACCCGAAAGGAAGTGTTGAAAAATATGATTCGATGAAAGAATATGTAAGAAAGATATGTAAGAAAATAAGCTGAATGAGAAAGAAAGAAAGAAAGAAAGAAAGAAAGAAAGAAAGAAGAAAGGAAACAGAAAGAAAGAACCAAAACAGTAAGAAAGAAAAGAAACATACAAAGTAGATGAAAAAGAAATACAATGAAAGAAACAAAGAAGTAAAAGAAATAGACAACAAAAAAGAAGAAAAGATTTTAAATGAGAAAATTCAAATAGGATTAACAAGGAAAGAGATAAGATAAACGAATCAATTGTTTGGTTAAGAGAATACGCAAAAACTGTAAAGATGTAAATGAGGACAAAATAAAAGAATGAATGAAATAAAGAAAAAGAGAAAAAAAAAACAGCGAAGAAAAAAAGAGGAATGGAGTAGAAGTATAATGAGAATAAAAGACAAATAAAAACACACCTATCAGTGCTAAACATGAAGAGTGAAAGAGGAATTATAAGTGGCTCTAAGCAAAAAATGGACGATGGGTAATTTTCTTACCACAAAAATGTCTCCAGTAGAAAAGAACTGAAAATGACAAGGTAAAAATTAGAGGAGAAGAGCCACAGTGTAATTAATTACTCCATCAGGTGATAACCCAAAATTAGGATTCGAAAGAAAGCGAACGAGCACGTACACACGTACACACACACGTACACACACACGTACACACACACACATATATATAAATATACACACATACGTATAAATATATACACACATATAGATAGATAGATAGATAGATAGATAGATAGATAGATAGATAGATAGATAGATAGATATGTGTGGTTGTGTTTATATTTGTATAGTTGTAAGGATGTTACAATACAGACAGAAGCACTTTCAGTTGTAAACACATATAATTACGTTTCGAAGTGTGTGTACTAAACAGTCAACATTTCTCTCATTTTCTGCCCTACGCCGCTTTTGTGTAAAGACAGACAAACCATTACACACACATACATGAATATTATTTTGTGGACATTAACCTACCTACAGATATGTATGTGAGTATATATATATGGCTGTATGCGCAGTCACACACACACACACACACACACACACACACACAACCCTCGACTTGTACAAGATGCACATGCACTGATGCTATATTTATACAGAAAAAACACGTATATATATATATAGATATATATGTATATATGAGATTAAAAAATAACTGATAATAATAGTAATAACAAAGACAACAATGTTGATAATAATAATTAAAGCATTATTATTATTATTATTATTATTATTATTATTATTCTGTCTTCTCGTATTTATATTATTGGCCATCTATACTAAATGTATTTAAGAAACATACGTGAAGAATCCTTGTTTATATATATATATATATATATATATATATATATATATATATATATATATATATATATATATATATATATATATATATATATATATATATATGAAGAAATACAGTTTTAAGGTGTGCTATATTTATGGGATAAAGTGCTCAGTATCAGAGATAGAGCGTATATAAATATAAATATAAAAGTGAACATTGAAGTCAACTGTCAGAGGCCAGAGACTGTTTCATGCTAGACGCAATCGTCAGACCGCAAATAAACAAGACAGCTCCCAAAAATAATTTATGAAACATACGTATTATTATAATTTTGTATGCGCATTATTGTTTTATACACATATTAATCTCAATCTGCTGTGACGAAACATATTTTTGTCGTTACTAAAATTTTGAGATCTTTCTTTCGAATGGGTGCTGTATTGTATGTTGATACGGCCTACTTTTCGGTTGATGATAGATTTATCTTGGTTAATTGTGACTAGATGATCGATATGTGCATGAATTGCCATAAGATACGAAAGGGTATAAGAAAAGCTACGAGATAGTGTGAATCATGTGTAGACAATGTAATTATAAAAGTATTATTGATATTAGATAAGGATTAATAGAATAAAACTTGAGACAGTTTATCACCAAGTCTTCTTTCTTCACAATCTTCTGCAAATCAATTATATGTTTGTGATGTCACCGAACACTCTTTTGACGCTTTGTAATGTCAACGAATACTCGTTGTCACTCTCGTCATGCTCGTCGTAGTAGAGACTTTGTAATCGCCGATACAACTATAGTACGCCATTGAACAATGTTGGTATCAGACGCCTTCTAATATCACTCGCATTGATACTACTTGCCCGATAAGACTCGCTCGAATAGTAACCGTATTGGTCCGAATAGAGAATAGTGTAAAGAAGAGAATAGAGAATAACGGTCCGTATAGTAATTGAGGATAGACTAGAAATTTGAGATCATTGAGATATCACGCGTTTTCCTGCATATACGTTTCTTCTGCGGCCACGTGATCTTCTTAAGTCAATAATGTGATCGCTTGGGTTTGTACACTCGTGATCTATGTTTAAACTCATGTGTCGACATCGATAGTTTATTCCTATATAACAATTCACTGCTAATACCTTCTTTGGCGTTTCTTTATTTATTTGCATGTTGCTTTAAGCAATTTCTAAAGTTAACTTATTTATTTTTAAGCCATTTTTTTTACTACTTCAAAATTTAATTTAGTGAATACACGTGTATGAAATCGACGTTTTTTTGTGTTTTTTTTTTAATTTTAAACAGTCGCCATTAAATCTACTGTCCTTGGCAAATCGTGAAACTCCAATAAAGAAAATATGTTCTCTGACAGTGTTCAAATCTGTGTCCCCCTTTGTTTAATTCATTGTGCATTAGACATCTCAACAACATATCTGGTTAGCTTTAGATCGTTCTGTCTCCGTGGTGGGGGGAATATTTTCATAAGATTTATTGAATGTGCAGACCGATAAGCGTAATACACAGCGTTTAAAATATAATATAAATTATAATTAGGGATTCTTGTATTTTCTCCTACATAACTAACTAATTTATATTAACTTAAGAACTCAAGTCACTCTCTGAAATTGTATTGTCAGAACTAAACTCTCATAAAGAAATCAAGCTAGGTGCCAAAATCGTTCTGAAATCTTTAAACAATCAGCTATATATTAGATTATCTCAGATTGATAATTAAAAATGGCTTCTAGCAAGTGAATCCTCTAGAAAAAAATAATCCTTCATTAGAGCACATAGAGAGGGGCTAGAGAATCATAAATAGCCTTACCAAATAAAAAAACAGACAAACACATGAGATCTTCCGACATCTGCAACAACTAAAATATGTTGCATATGTATCCAGAAAAGAAAATAGTGATATAATCGAGACGTTGAATTGTGATTCTCACTTAAATAAAGGATAAAAAATGAAATTGAGTTTTTTTTAATTTTAAACAGTCGACATTAAGTCTACCGTCCTTGGCAAATCGAGAAAAACCAATAAAGAAAATATGTTCTCTAACAGTGTCCAAATCTGCGTTCCCCTTTGTTTAATTCATTGTGCATTAGACGTCTCGACAACATATCTGGTTAGCTTTAGATCGTTCTGTCTCCGTGGTTGGGGGGTGCATATTTTCTTAAGATTTATTGAATGTGCAGCACTAGAAAAAGCGCCAAATTAGTCTTGCAAAAGAGAAAGATTTTTTTAAAAATTATAACTAACAGTAACAGTAATTTCCGTCAATGAATGTCGTAAATTTCTTGTGTGCAAAACGACTAACCTCACATTTACCACTGTTCTGAAGTTGTTCTCGTTTCATCAGAAAAGGCAACGAACTATTTTCTTTCATTTGGAGTTTCTTCTGCTAGAAATACATGACTGCGTGTGGGTCGGCAATTAAATCTCCCCGACATGAAAGGCTTCCCTCAATGAACTGAACTTGATTCAAAAAGAGAAGCAAGGATCTTAGTTGAATGACACTGAAGATAGAAGTACATTCTATGCAACTACAATGACAAAATAAAACTCAGAATTTCGCTCGGATCTCGTACATTTCCTTCAAATTGCTTAATATGAAAAGAGAGCATTCTTCATATGCGAATGCCGTCAGTAACTTGGGTTCTTACAATCTGTGATTACAAGTTGAGTGACTGACGATAACCGTTGATTTATCTTTGGAATTGCGGGAACTACGAAAAGATATACAATGCATAAGCGAGTATATATATATATATTTAAAAATAAAATTAAAAAAATGTGACCTGGTAATAGACATACGTATACTTGATATGAAAAAAATAATTTTATATACTGTAAGTAATTCTAGTACATTTACTTGTTTCAAAAAGAAATGTAATCCGTTGAAAATTAAAAGTGAAAATATTTTAAAATTGTAGCTAAATAAAACGTATTATAACCTAAACATTCCCCAAAAATCTTTAAGCATACAAGTAGAAAAATGCCTTAAGAATTTTTGTCGTTAACGATAAAATTAAAAAACAAACAAACCAGACGACATACATTTAACAGATGTTAGAATTCGTTGAAAAATACATCCCTACCCTTACTTAAAAATAAACCATTTTTCGAACGTAACTAATAACTGATACAACAAAAGTTAATAAAAATGGACATGCTACCACCCCTTGTCTGAATGATAGGATTTCATTGTATCATTGGGAACATTGAATTATGAATTTTTCTGTGCCTTTAAAACTCAGTAAATTTTAAAAAATAAGTTACTCCAAAATTCGCTTGAGGATGAAATGGAACTAATGCTTTTAATTTAATTACAAAATGAAATTCGAAGCTTTCAGCTTCCATTTTTGAAACATGGTTAATACTGTGTAGCGAAGAAATCATATTTTAAATCAGTTAATTTATAATATTAATGCTCTGTAAATTTACATTGATAACTATTTTGTAAAAATAAAAATACCAATAAGAACACCGGATTATATATGATATGTATACATGAATTTTGAAGTCAACACCCAGAGGCGTCATATTTAGTTTGTGACTTTCGTTTCTCTGACAATTGCAATTGGCGTGAAACCCAGGGTCACAACTCACATCAACTCAATTAAATATATATATATATATATATATATATATATATATATATATATATATATATATATATATATCTGTGTGTGTGTATGTGTGTGTATGTGTGTGTATAGCGCGTGTGTTTATATCAATATTTGAGTTTGTGTGTGTGCGTGTGTTTTCACTTGACTGGGTTTAATGGTTAATAAGCATGTCTAGCTTGATTAATTCTGGCTGAACAGTTTCAATCCTTACTTGGCGTTTCACATTTACGGCCTTTACACAAGCCGCATACTGTGCGTGTGTGTGTGCTCGCGCGTGCGTGTTTGTGTGTGTGTGTTGGTCTGATGGTAGCACAAAATGTGGAACTGATAGCCACTATTCAATTTTGATTTCTCTCACTATACAATTTATAAGTACGTACTCGTTGTCTATATCATAAATCAGAGGGCCGAGTTCGAATTCCAGTCGGGTTCGATACATTCACAAGCAAGAAATAACCTTGACGTAGGAAGGAATCCATAACCTCATCCATCTATTGGTTTAATAATACGACTTGTAACTGAAAAGAAGCCATTTTGTTCTCTAAATAACTGTAATATTTATTCATTAAAATAATTTTTCTTACAATAGAAAATCACCATCGAAGTCACCACAGCAGGAGATTCGAATATTCTGCAATGTCAGTCCATTTCTTCAGACAAGTTTCGTATCCGTACATTTACCGACAAGAAGATGCAACATACGGTAGTCAAGCCCTGGATGGATGGGCGAATCTGCTGCCTACTATATCTGTAGGAAACAATCAATCCTAATACCTACACCTTAAATTATAGTATTATCTCTATCCTGTCATCCAAATCCTGGAAGCCCAGTCAAACCTAGTATTTAAACCCCAGCTCTTGAGAGAGAAAAAAAATGGATTCACGCCATTCTTCTGAACATTTGCTCGGAAATAAAACCATGAGAGAAGATAGAAATGTAGTTCCACTATAGTAAGCGAGAAGGAATGGCATTTAACAGTTAATTATGAAAGAATGTCTTGAGACCATTATGTTAGGTCTTGAATGGACGTGGCATTAAAAATTTGAAAAACCCGAAAGTAAATAGCTTCCTGGAGTAGTTGTTGGGATATTTCCATAACTGTATATTATTATTATATATTTCCACAGTTATTTCAGATTACGGCGTTAGCAGAGCACACACTTTGAATGATATTAAGCATTTGTGTTTCAAGCATATTGACAACATTAACTTAGCCGTCTCTTATCTAACACAGGAAATGAAAAGGATCAACTGGTTTGTGTCACTATCCACATATCACTATAGATTTGATTTGATTTGTTTGTTTAACGGCATATCAAATACTTATCGGTCATTTAATACCGAAATTTAATTTGGGGGGGGGCGCTTTGAAGTAATAGAAATATGATATACTTTATCCTGCTTTCACAACTGAAAACATGGTAGATGATACTCAGCATTTGTGCATATAGACGTTTGTGTTGTCATGATTACCAGAGGCGGTGATATGTGTGTTTTCTGTTGTAGTTTTGTTGAAGTTATATTTTGGAATACAGTTTGTTTTCTTTAAAAAAAAATGTAGGAAATTTTATGGACTAATGCTATGAAAAAGTTCTGTTATGTTGATTGATGTATTTTTGGTAATTTTACTATAAATAGATATTGTTCTTAATTTTATTTTATATAAAAATGTATTGCTGGTATATTTACTATAAAAAAAGTATTTTTATGCTTTAATAGGGTTTTGATTTTTTATTATTTTTTTTGATGAAAGGTCATTATTTGCCCATGGCTGGGATCCTATCTGGTGCTACCACTCCGTGTCAAGGTGAATCTGGGAACAACAGCAATACACTGAATACATCCACGCTCTTGATTATAGTCCTTGCAGCTGGATGTAGTTTCGAGTCATGCTCAGAACTATTAGCTGCTTCTTCAAAATGGTTAGCAGAATGAAGGCCCACGAAATTATCAACGGGTATAGACGTCAATTTAATGTTGTTTAGACCTAGACGTGAGATTCGAATATTCTGCAATGTCAGTCCATTTCTTCAAACAAGTTTTCGTATCCGTACATTTACCGACAAGAAGATGCAACATACGGTAGTCAAACCCTGGATGGATGGGCGAATCTGCTGCCTACTATATCACGCACGCGAGAATTAACATACGCATATCACACAGAACTTGTGGCCTCTTCCCTCTCCTGATCAAAATCCCTAGAGCTACCACGTTTGACTTTTATTCGAGAATTATATCAATCAGAGGCCCTAAAATGCAAACCAAACTTCGTGTTAAGAGTTAACATGAGTTAAAATGAATCAGAACCTTTTGATTATTGCATGTGGTAGAAGTCCCCTTATAATTGTTCTGGAGGCTGAGGTCGGTATTATTGAATGACATTTCTCTTTCTAAGTTTAATATTCGTAATCTTTTTAGAAAAATATGATGCTTTTGATGACCCCACACGGTGTTTTTTTTTTTGGTGGGGAGGAGTGTGGTTAGACTCAAAGGAGGATTAAAGACAAGAGATGTTAAAGGGTGAATTTCAAGGCAACAGAAATGTAGCTCTGTTGGAGCCCAGAGTTATCTATGCAATCCGTGCGATGATAACACCAACGATAACACTGAACCGCTTAGCTGTGAGCTTCCTA